GACGAGGCCCCCGGGTCCAGACAGACCCACGGGTGGCTCGCGGGAGCAACGCACCCACCGCCGGCCTCCCTATGGCAGAGGAGGTCGGGGTGGCAAGAATTCTTTCAATAAAGGCCGACCGGCATTTTGTCAGTACTCGTTGTCTGAGTCTCATTTGGGGGTACGTAACATGTCTAATGTGCAAGCTGATTGTGTTACTTCCCGGGCACATAACGTTGCTTCGCTAGGCCTGCAGCCCCCAGAGCAGGGTGTGCAGTGCGCTATGCGAGCTACGAGCTCCGGTCCTCTGATCCATGCTATGCCCTCCCAGAGAGGGGTCAGGCGGAGGGATCTGGTGAGTAGTGATGTGTGTGCTTCGGCCAAACGCGTGCTAGCCCCTCTGAGATACGAGGCTAACACGGGGTTTCCCACTCCAGGGGCTCGCCCCCCCCTCCATGAGGCAAGAGCCAGGGGGGGCGCAGCAGTCGAGTCACGTGGTATGAGCAGACCCGTACTTATGATGTCGGGCCTGCAGGACACGTGACCGCCCCTGGCGCACAGGGCCCCCCTGCCCTTTCGTCCACCCCCCCTCCCTGCTAGGAACACCAGGAGAGGGCGGGGCCATGACGTCTCGTGTTCCAGCTCCCGTTCCGCCCCTCACAGACTTCTACAGCATCTGGAGGGAGCAGGGATTGCTGACGGATCCATAGCTGGAGAAAACATTGCGCAGGGTTTACGCACTGCAATTCTCCCAAAAGCCACCACCATTCCGAGGCGTACGGGCAGCACGCTCTCAGGTACAGGGATCATTAGAGGCACTACAAGCGGAGGTCTCCTCTCTGCTGAGTCGAGGCGCAGCAGTCGAGGTAGACCCACAGGACGCCACCAGGGGGCTGTACTCCCCTTACTTCTTGGTGCCAAAGAAGTCAGGCGGGGTGCGTCCCATTTTGGATTTGCGAGTTCTGTACGAGTGCATTTCCAAACGGCAGTTTCGGATGCTGTCCACAAAACAGCTCCTCGAGTGTGTCAGGCAGGGAGATTGGATGTCCTCCATAGACCTGACAGACGCTTACTTCCACGTGCCGATAGTTCCGGAACACAGGAAGTTCCTGCGCTTCGCAGTGGGAGAGAGGAATTACGAGTACTGCCGTCTCCCGTTCGGCTACGCATTTGCGCCTCGGACCTTCTCCAAGTGCGTGGAGGCGGCACTGGAGCCGCTCAGACGCGCAGGGGTAAGAATATTAACCTACATAGACGATTGGTTAATACTGGCCTCATCCAGGGAAGTGGCCGTGAGTCACACGCACTGGGTCCTGTCCCACATACAGCGCCTGGGCTTTGTGGTGAACAGGGAGAAAAGCAAACTGCAGCCGGCTCAGCGCATGATCTATCTCGGCCTGCAGCTAGACTCTGTGACATTCCGTGCTGCATTGTCCGTGGAAAGACGGATGAATATTACCCGTCTGGCCAGGGAGGTTCTGGCGGGCCCCAGGGTCCCCGCTCGGCGCCTCAGGTCCCTGCTGGGAATGATGGCGGCGGCTCATGCTGTGGTGCGGCTAGGCCTTCTCCACATGAGGAATTTTCAGAGGTGGTTCTCACGCCTCAAGCTTCACCCCTCCCGGGACGGGGGGAGGCTTATCTGGGTTCCCCAAGTGGCAGCATCGGACATCAGGTTTTGGCTCACTCCGGGTCTATTGCGGGACGGAGTGACTCTGGCCTGCGCCGTGTCTCACGTGGAGGTGTTCACGGACGCGTCACTCGAAGGTTGGGGCGGGGTCCTCGGCCAGAGCTCTGTAGGAGGCTGCTGGTCGGACTCAGCCCGCCACATCAACCTGCTGGAGATGGAGGCAGTACACAGGGTACTACTGCACTTTGCTCCTCAGCTGCATGGGAGACACGTGATGGTGCGCTCAGACAACACCACAGTGGTCTCTTATCTGAACAGGCAGGGGGGCACCAGGTCCCCCGCCCTCCATCGCATGGCGACGGTGACGCTGCTGTGGGCGGCGCTTCACCTTCTGTCTCTGAGGGCGCGCCACGTCCCGGGGGTCCGGAACGTGGAGGCCGACAGGATGTCCAGGGGGGGGGCCCACTGCAGGACGAGTGGGGCCTGGCCCCACGGGTAGCTGCGGAGATCTGGCGGAGGTTCGGCCGTCCAGTGGTCGACCTTTTCGCCAGTGCAGAGAACGCACAGTGCCCGTCCTGGTTCGCCTTAAGGGCCGCGGACGAGCCGCCCTTAGGCGTGGACGCTCTGGCTCATTACCCCTGGCCAGATGGCCTGCTGTATGCCTTCCCACCAGTCCGTCTCCTGCCGGTCCTGCTGCTGCGGATCGAACAGGAGAGGAGGTCGGTGATCCTGGTGGCTCCGGACAGTCCGCATGCCCGGTGGTTCCCCTTCCTGAGGGGCATGGCGGTGATGGAGCCCTGGGCCCTCCCGGACGAGCCGGGGGCTCTAGTCCAGGGGGGGGGGAGCCCTGTTTTCACGCCCGATAATCGGCCGCAGGCTCTGGGTTTGGAGGCTGAGAGGCGGAACCTCGTAGGCCTGGGTCTTCCCCCAGCGGTGGTGGAGACCATTCAGGGGGCGAGGGCGCCGTCCACTGTGAGGGCCTACGCCACAAGGTGGAGGCTCTTCAGCGACTGGTGCGGTTCTCGCTCCTGGGATCCCAGGCGTTGCCCGCTGGAGGGGGTCCTGGGATTCCTACAGGAGCTTTTTGACAAAGGGAGGGCTGTCGCCACCTTGGCGGTGTTCGCGGCAGCCATTACCTCGGGTCACGACGGATTCGGGGGGTTCACAGCCCGCTCTCATCCGTTGGTTAAACGTTTTCTGCGGGGGGCGCGCAGGAGGAGGCCCCCGCTCCAGAGAACGCCCCCGGTTTGGGACCTCAGGGTGGTCCTTAGGGGTCTGTTGGGTCCGCCTTTTGAACCGGCGGCGGAGGCGAGTCCCGAGTGTGTCGCTTTTAAGACGGCCCTCTTGCAGGCGTTGCTGTCTGCTAAGAGGGCGGGCGACTTGTGTGCGCTCTCCGTCCATGCGTCTTGCCTGTCCTTGGAGAGGGCAACGGCATGGTGGAATTGTGGCCCAATCCGGCTTTTCTCCCCAAGGTCATCACGTCGGCCTTAGGTCGAGAGTCATCAGGATTAGGGCATTCTATCCGCCACCGCATGCCTCCCCCGAGGAGGAGCGGCGGCACCTTCTGTGTCCTGTCAGAATGCTTAGGCATTACCTGGCCATGACGTCTTCATTCAGGTTGGATGACCAGCTGTTTGTGTGTCTGGGCCCCAAGAACAGGGGCGCCCCGCTGTCGGCTCAGCGGCTGGCGCACTGGGTCGCCACGGCGGGGCGGCGGGCGTATCAGGCGCAGGGTCTGGCCCCCCCGGTGGGCTTCAGGTCGCATTCCACGCGTGGGATGGCGGCCTCTACGGCCCTCCTCAGGGGGGCGTCGGTCGAGGACGTCTGCCGTGCGGTTTCTTGGGCGTCGTCCTCTTCTTTCGCCCGGTCTTATCTTTTGGATGTGTAGGACCGGTCGGTGGCCCATTCCGTGCTGGGTGCAGCGGACTGAGTTGAGACCGTTAGGTCCCTCCTCTGAGGGGGCCTTCGGTTGACTTTCCGCCCTGGTTCAGGAGCTCTTGGGAGAGGCGTCCTACAGGTGCGGTATTTGTATGTGTGCTTTGGTCAGTCAGGTAGTCCACGTCAGAAGCTCTTGGGAGAGGCGTCCTGGGACTACGGGTGACCTACGGTCTGTGTTACGTGGGGTAACCTTGGGAGGAGTGGCCCTGTAACACGCAATTGCTTCTTCTGCCCTGAGTCCTCTCACTTTGTGAGGGTCTTGCTCGGGCGGAGCTCCAATCACTTTTCGCTGGCCTGCTGGGAGTACATGTTCCTACGGCCTCTGCGTTGTGTCCCACTAGCAAAGTCCTAAGGGACGTAGCACCATGACGTAGAATTAATAGTTACCTAATGTAACTTAAGTTCTACGAATAGGTGCGTAGTCCCTTAGCTACGAGCCCATCAGGCCAGCCCGGCTTGGCAGAGTTCAAGAGGGGGTGCGGCCTTGTGCAGGGGCCTTTATAGAGGAGGGTCGCTAGTGATTGGAGCAAATTATTTTGATCTCTCTTGCGTGTGACCTGGGGGTCACAAGTGATATCCCACTAGCGAAGTCCTAAGGGACTACGCACCTATTCGTAGAACTTAAGTTACATTAGGTACCTATTAAATCTATTGCACTCACATTATTGTTAGTGACATTATATCGAGCACCTCTTCCATGATTTAGACAAACCAGTCTCTCATTATCAATAAAGTATAACAATAACAATGGACTTTTGTATATCGTGTATTTGTAACACACAGTGATTTAAGTCGTTTTTAATAAAAGTAGCTACCCCTCCAACCCCTCAAACTCCAGCACGATTGTTTATCTAGTAATCAGTGCACAGGCATCACATGTGTCATATGCAGGAATATTCAGGCAACAATTGGATCGTAATGTTAATAATAATAAATCAGTTTTATATAGCGCTTTTTTGGACACTCAAACAAGCTTCACATGTCATTATTCTTTCACCCAGTGCTTTAAATGGCCCAAAAGAAATGCCGGTACTCTGTTATTATTTTTTGCAATATTATATCCATTATATACATGTGTTTAGGGAAATGCTTGAGCTATAGAAAGAGCTACTGAAAAATGAGAAATACTGTGCAAATTATTTTGCCTAGAAAAGGCACAAGCATGTTTTGGGCTCCACTTTCCTTGCACTTGCGGCTTCGCAGGTTGTGGATGCTGCACATCCCCCCAGTGCCAGCCGTGTGTGCACATCTGTGCAATAAACTGATCCAAGGGTGGTCCTTGCAATTAAGGAAGGTAAGATTTGACAGTATTTTTTTATGTCAGGAGAGTTTGACCGCGGCTGCTTTCATTTGCCCGCGTCTGACCTGCAGCAATCTCATTCTGGCTTATGGGGCGTTCATAGACAGTAACCGGTACGCCAAAAGCACAGAGAGGTGGCGGTACGCTCAAGAGCTGTTATTGGAAGTGCCGGTACTGCACCAGGCCGGTGCGGATCAGCGGGACCAGGCCGGTGCGGAGCAGCAGGACCAAGCCGGTGCGGGACCAGGCCGGTGCGGGACCAGGCCGGTGCGGAGCAGCGGGACCAGGCCAGGAGTGAATCAGTGGGACCAGTCTGCAGGGGCAGGAGACCCAGAAACGCCAGACAAGCTAAGACGCCAAACCGAGGGCCCAGACCAGCGGGAGGCGGGGGACACGCGCGCAGTCTTCCAGAGACAGACTGTGGTCCATTGTTTTAGCTCCTGACTTTAATCTCCTTTTTTAAAATGGGCTTTTATGTATTTTAGCACAAGATTTTAGTCGCATATTTTAAAGACTTTTGTATTACTTATTATTAAAACTTGTACACCTGCTTGACTTTGGCCTGTTATTTCTCAGTGGTATTTTAAATGGATCGAAAAGAACCTCACACCTGGTGTGACATTTTGGCGTTGCTGAGACAGGATCCGTACCACTGTTAAACATGCAGGCGCAAGCGGGTACAAGCTCTAGGAATGGATCTAATTCTATCACTGCACAGTTCACTATGCCCTGGTTTATGGGTGCAGCATTTATCCCAAAATTTGGAGGAGAGCTAACAAAATTTGTAGAATGGAAAGCTCAGGTGGAGGCTATGCTCAGCAAGAGCAAGAAGCTGATTTTATATTGACTGCCTTGGAGGGGGAAGCAAAAAGAGAGCTACTATGAGAGCGAGCAGCTAACAGAGATACGGGGAGTAAGATTTTAGCCTTCTTAAAGGAACAGTATGATAGGCCCACAACAAAAGCGCAATTGAGAACTAGTTTTTACAACTGTAAGCAAAGGGCTGACGAAAACATAAATGCTTTTGTATTGAGACTCAGAGAACACTTTTACAAATGGCAATAATTGGAAAGAGCCGCAGCAGAGAGCTACAATGACTTGCTATTAGACCAACTAATGTTGGGCTTAAAGAGAGGCCCTGTGAAACAAGAGCTAACTCGCTTATTGAGACGCAATACAGACCTGACGTTTACTGGTGCATGCAAGGAAGCCCGTGCTTTAGAATTTGAATTTGAGGACGAATGGCATGCCATTGTGAGCCAGAGGGTCCAGACCTACACACCACCCTTCCGCTCTGTACCAGACCCAGAAGAGCTAAAAGGACACATTTGTGTACAGCTCAAAGAAGAACTTACTGAGAACTTAAATGAAAACTCTGTCTAATAACTTAGTAGAACAAATGAAGGCTCAACTCTTTAGCCCTCCACAACCACTGGCCCCTTGGACACCCCCAACCCAGCAGTATAGACCACAAAATCCAACGTCCTACCGATGGGATACACAGGGCCGCCCCATCTGCGATAAATGTGGAGCCCCAGGACATGTTCAGCGCAGATGCCCTCGCAAAGCATCACAGACACAGGATTTTTGATTCCCCCTACAGCTGCGGGCCAAGCAGTGGGGGCGATCGTCCTGGACCAAGAGCCCACTATCAAAGCCCCACCACTAATTGGAACGCCCCATTCACGGACCAGGGCTGCTCTAGTTGGTGAGTGTTTAGATGTCGTTGTAAAGCTGAACGATTGTGCGATACCGTTTGTGCTGGACACAGGTTCCCAAGTAACTCTGCTGAGTCAAAGTTTATTCGAGAAACATTTGAAAGGGGCGGGGGTATCTAGTGCAGAAGAGGTACCATGGTTAACCTTACGTGCAGCAAATGGGCTAAAGATTCCCTACATTGGCTATGCTCTAGTGACCGTTACAGTGGGGAATATTAGCGTGCCTGAAAAGGGCATTCTGGTGGTAGAAGATACCTGTTTGGGGCCAGATAAGGGGATCCTTGGAATGAATGTAATTAAACCTGTTTGGTCTGCACTTACCCTGGAGAGCCAACCGGGTTTGGCAGCTTTTAGGACTCTGTTACCAACGGTTGAAGGCCAGGTCTAGGCGCAGGCGTTTGCGGAGTGCCAGAGGGTGTCCATGAACAGTCCTGAACCAGCTTACCAGGGGGTTGCCAAGCTACCACGCCAATCCCCCATAACCATTCCGCCCCTTTCTGAGATGGTGCTATGGCTGCAGGTGAGTGGGAATCCTGCCGACCAATCCAATGTGTTTGTTGAACCTCTGCCTAATAGTGATTCAGAGTGGTATGTGGAACGGACCCTGACGAGGCTCAGCGGTGGCCGGGTCCCATGCAGAGTATGTAACCCTAACCCCTACCCAGTGGAGGTGCCACAACGCCAACCCCTGGCTCAAGTATCTGAAGTGACTGCCTCGGACATCAAAGGAGAACAGGAACTGGTATTGGACAGTGTGGCACCGGACATTTCACCTTGGAGAGACCCATGAGGAAAATGCCGTTAGACTTATTAGATTTAAGCATGTTTATTGATTGAGCATGTTTGGCGCCCTAGGCCCGGGAGGGATGCTGTTGAGCACGGCGCTTGCTCGCGTGCATAATCCCCCCCGGGGCCTAGGCACTGGTGACGGCAGAGGCAGTAGGCAAGCACGCTTCGATGAGAGAAGGAGGAGGTGGGGCGGCGGAGGCTTGCAGACTTCAGAAGGCCGGGAAGTGGGCGTCTCCGGCTTTTAACTTGCTGTCCTGGTGGTTATTGGTTGACTGGATGTGGGCGTTGCTGGTATTGATGAGTCGAGGAAGAGCAGCCTGTGGCCTGGGCAGCAGCAGCCGGGTCTACCACAGTGAACTTTCGCGAAAGCTCCATTATTGAAGTAGCCGTGAGGCGTGTGAGGACTGACCTGACTGCAGATGAAGAGTGTCATCCAGTTCTATCTTTACAGGGGCATGGCCTTGACCCGGGGGAACAACAGAGAATGGCAGAGCTCTTAAATACAGTTTTTCTCTATTGCTTAAACACATTTCACGATACTGCCCTCCCTTTTCTCAAAACTCTAAACACAAACCTCTTTTCTAAAGCTACGTACACACAACAACACAGTCTCTTTTCAAAACCAACCCATCACACCAAAACAGTTTCTCATATTCTCAAAACCAACCCATCACACCAAAATACCTCTCATGGTCTGCAAAAATGTGAACACTATGAGCATCATTAACCACATCACCAAAACAATTGAAAACACAATTTTCAGAATGTGAGATTGTTCTTTTTACAGTTTCACAACTGCCAGGATGCATTTGAGCAACACTTTTTTAATTCTCAAATATGTTTTGGGCCTTCTCTATAGATTTGCGCGTATCATGGGAATAGTTACATAACACAGAAAATGCAGTTATATCAAAACTCAATGCAAACATGGGTACTGTAAATTCTATAGAGGATCCATTAGACACAATAGATACTACAGTACAGTAACAATTGGAAACACAATGTTTAGGGCAGTGCTTCTCAAATAGTGGGGGGGGGGGGGGCAAATAGTGGGGGCGCCCCCCCTCCACATGCTCTGGTGTCACAGTGGACTCATTCCCATGTGACCGGCGCTGCCAGGACAAGTGCGGATCTTTGGACAACTTGTTGACGCGATAAATACAGCGCTGTGAGAAATACAGCTGAACTATGTGAGCCTCTGGAAGTGTCCCCGTGTCTCCTGTAGCCTGAAACTACAATTCACTAAATTAAAGCTGGGGTACCTAAATTTCCCTTGCATTCATAATGCATGTTGCTCCACTCCCTCCTTGGCCTGCTCCTCACCCTCTTTGACCTGCTCCCTCCTTGACCTGCTCCTCTCCCTCCTTGGTCTGCACCTTTCCCTCCTTGACCTGCTCCTCTCCATCCTTGACCTGCTCCTCTCCCTCCGTGGCCTGCTCCTCTCCCTCTTTGACCTGCTCCTCTCCCTCCGTGGCCTGCTCCTCTCCCTCTTTGACCTGCTCCTCTCCCTCCGTGGCCTGCTCCTCTCCCTCGTTGACCTGCTCCTCTCCATCCTTGGCCTGCTCCTCTCCCTCCGTGGCCTGCTCCTCTCCCTCTTTGACCTGCTCCTCTCCCTCCGTGGCCTGCTCCTCTCCCTCTTTGACCCGCTCCTCTCCCTCTGTGGCCTGCTCCTCTCCCTCCTTGACCTGCTCCTCTCCCTCCTTGACCTGCTCCTCACCCTCTTTGACCTGCTCCTCACCCTCTTTGACCTGCTCCTCACCCTCTTTGACCTGCTCCTCACCCTCTTTGACCTGCTCCTCTCCCTACACGGACACAAACTCCTCTTCTTCTGCCTTGATCATCCATTTTCTATTGGAACCTGCACTGACTTATAAATTTGTGGTCACATCATTTGCAACAGGAGTTTTCAGTTCTGAGTGGTTGTGTTTTCTGAATGACACCAGGTCTGTTCATTGTGTTCAGGTTTTGCTGACAGTGGGAGACATTTTTCATCACATGAGCCTCACAATGATTATAGGAGCAGAGATACATGCAAAAAGTGTTTTAGCAAAGGAAAAAAGCGTTTTAGCAAAGGAAAAATGCGTTTTAGCAAAAGAAAAATGTGTTTAGAGTTTTGAGAAAAAGGGCATGTGTTTTGTGAACAGTGTCTACAGGAGAATTGTGTTTATGGTTGTGAGAAGTGGGGGGAAGTTTTAATAAATGTGTTTAGGCAATTGGTCATTTGGTTTAGAGTACTGGGTTTTGTGTTGTAGCAATGGAGAAAAACTGTAAATGGAAGAGGGTGTTTTCATGCCATGACAAAGACTTTGGCCGAACGAGTGCAGTCCAACACCGAATACCAACAGGTACCGCCCCTCCTAGCCGTGAGAGATACCGACCCGTTCCCCCGAGCTTGTATACAGAACTCCAAGTTTTGTTGAAAAAACATGTTGGAGACTCGAGTGGTGCGGGAGAGCACCAGCCCATGGGCGGCCCCCATTGTTCTTGTGAAGAAGAAAGATGGGAGCTGGAAGTTCTGCGTGGACTATCGGAGGCTCAATGCGGTTACGCATAGAGACGCTTACCCATTGCCACGCATTGAAGAATCTTTGACGGGGCTGAAGGCCAGTGGATACTGGCAAGTGGAGATGGATCCGGCAGACAGGGAGAAAACTGCATTTACCACACCCTTGGGCTTTATGAGTTCGAACGCATGCCCTTTGGGCTGTGTAATGCCCCGGCCACTTTCCAAAGACTTATGCAGCGCTGCCTCGGAAGTCTGGTAAATGACTCATTGTTGATATATCTTGACGAAGTTGTGGTGTTTTCTACAGATTTTGATAGCCACCTCCGCCACCTAGAAGAAGTGTTCCAGCGGCTGGATGAACATGGGCTGAAGCTACAACCAAGGAAGTGTAGCCTATTCCAACAGCAGGTGACTTACCTTGGCCATGTAATCAGTGAGGAAGGGGTAGCAACTGACCCAGCGAAGGCTGCAGCCGTGAAAGAGTGGCCCACACCCAAAACCGTGAAGCAGGTAAAGTCCTTCCTTGGCTTTGCAGGCTATTACAGGCGTTTCATCCCAGATTTTTCAATAATTGCGATACCGTTGAACGCCCTAACACGGAATGCAACTAATACCCCTAAGACCGCACCGGTAAATTGGTCTGTGGAATGTCAGGGTGCATTTGACAAGTTAAAAACTGCGTTACTCAATGCCCCAATACTGGCCTATGCAGACTTTTCGAAACCCTTCCGCCTATATACCGATGCCAGTTTTGAGGGATCAGGGGCGGTCCTGGCACAAGTCCAAGATGATAAGGAACGCGTGATAGCCTATGCCAGCCGTAGTTTATCACCCGTAGAGCGTAACGATCAGAACTACAGCTCCTTTAAATTGAAATGGTTGGCATTGAAGTGGGCGGTCACAGAGAAATTTAAGGACTATCTATACGGGGCGGAGTTTACAGTGTTCACCGACAATAACCCCTTAGTGCATCTGGAGACAGCAAAGCTGGGGGCTGTGGAACAGCGATGGGCTGCAAACTTCAGGTACAATATAAAGTACCGTCCAGGAATACAAAATCGTAATGCTGATGCGTTGTCTAGGTTGCCTGAAGGTGCCACCGTGTTGAGGACTATCGCAGACCAGACTGAAATCGGGCTGGACATGGGAGAGTGGAGGGAGCGACAAGCCAAAGACCCAGACCTGGCCCTGCTACGCCAGTGGAAAGGGCAACAGCAGACTCGACCAGAGGTACACAACACATCCCCATATCTAAAACGATTGTTGAAGGAATGGGACCATATTTCACTTAAAAACAATGTTCTTGGAAGAGAATGGGTTGAACCAGGCTCAGGGGTACAGATTTTTCAACAGATTATTCCAGAACACAAGACTGAAAGTTTGTGGCGGGCTTACCATGAAAAGATGGGTCATCCTAGTTGTGAGAGGACACCGGAGGCCTTACGACGGCTGTGTTACTGGCCTAGAATGACGGGGATGTGAAAGAGTGGACGGAGCACTGCCCCCAGTGTATATATCAAAAACCAGGGCCCGACGGGAGGGCCGCCCTATTAGCAATTGTCACCTCATACCCGGATTGTGGGTATAGATTACCTATCATTGGGACGAGATGGGGACCCGTACACGTATATTCTTGTTATGACTGATTTATTTTCAAAATTTTCTGTTGCGGTCCCCACTAGAGACCAGGGAGCAGAGACCACAGCACTGCGTTGTACACACATTGGATCCACATTTTCGGATGTCCAGAGCGCATCCTCAGCAACCGGGGGGCTACATTCGAATCAGCGTTAATAGCCCAACTGTGTCAACTCTACGGCTGCCAAAATGACCGCACTACCGCTTACCACCCACAGGGGAATGGGGCCTGCGAGCGGTTTAACCAAACCCTCCTGGGCTCTTGGGGTCCTTGGAAGAAACTCAACAGCACACTGGCATACCCACTTACCAGCACTTGTCCAGGCGCCTATAACAACACCCCCCATGGAACTACCGGTTTGACCCCCCACTTCTTGGTATTTGGGAGACATGCAAGGCTGCCGGTAGATTGGACCACAGGTTTGGGGCCCACCGCTGACCGCCATTCTCTAGAAGGATGGGTTAAAGGACACCAAAAGCGCTCAACCATGCTTATGAAAGGGGAATTATGAATGAAGGGAGGAGGAGTCTAGTGGTGCGGATACTGCGTCTTTGGACAACAGACATCACACACGAAAAGGCTGCGGGACCAGGCCGGTGCGAATCAGCGGGACCAGGCCAGAGCAGATCCGCGGGACCAGGCCGGTGCGGATTGTAGGGCTGGGATAAACGATTTATTTTTTAAACGATTAATCTAGCGATTATTTTTTCGATGCATGCATCGATTAATCTAACGCTGGAGCATGTTGATTATTTTTTTCGCTTCGATTCGATTTCGATTCGATTCGATTCTCGATTATCTCCCCATTAATTGACTAATATTGATGTATACATGTTGATTTAAATATTTTAATGAAAAAAACATGAATTCCTTCACAAAAAATATGTATTGCTTGCTCTTAAAATTAAAAAATAAGACATTCTTAGAGGTAGCATAAAACCTTAAAGCCTTGAAAACACAGCTTACTGAAAAAAGTGCATCTTATCATTCTTGAAACAAACATTTGATGCTTAGCATTCAATAAAAATATGAAAAAGTTCAGCCAAATACTTGTGTAGAGCAACTAAAAGAAAACAGTAACCAATGTAAACTTGAAGGCTTTAAGCTAAACAAAGAGTGCTTTTCCAGCAAAAACAGTGGGAGCCATCAGCCTGTCATGGCTACATAAGAGTGTAGAGTGGCCACAGGACGCGTCATCAGCCTACGTCAGCAGCCGCGGACTGCTATGAAAACATTAGCTTTGTGGTTTCACAGGCGCAGTTGACTGCTTAAACTAAACTTTGCACGAAACTTTGACTCTTAAAACCCACATGTGACAAAACGGAACCATCAACATATCGCCTCAAATTGCATTAAAAGTGACATTCGTGTCTGAATTCGTTCGTATTTTAACTTTTAAAGAAATTCACGGTCCGCCATCTTGGTTTGCTTCGGCTGCCGTGAGACGCGCATGCGCAGGTTTGCATTACATGATAAACAGCTGAGGCTGTGCATCTCTTCAAGGCAGTGTATCTCAGCGTTACACCGGCTTGCACTTCTCTAACACGGCACTCGCATTGCTACCGCTCGCCGCCATCTTTGTTTTGTGTGTGACGCACCGACGCGCATATTATACGTCGGTGTATTTTTTGCGTCAACGTCACCGATTACGTCGACGCGTTGTCCCAGCCCTACTTGCTTGGCTTTAAATAAAAGAGTCGCCCCGACTCACGAAAGACAGCTTTTCCGACTCCGCTTCACACTTTCTGAAAACCTTCCTTGAAGAACGCTTGGACAGGGCAGGGCGGCCCTAGGCTAAGGTGAGTAGTAAAAGTAGACTGATTTTGGTATATCGCACCTAGAGCTTCTGCTTCTCTACGGATTAGCCACACCAAGGGGAAAAACGTTAGGCAGGGACAAAACTTAGCTAGCCTTAGACCCAGCACGAGGCAGGTCGGGACTAGCGCTACCGAAAGCCAGGTCCTACTAGGGAGTCTGCGTTATAGAGCAAGGTAAAGGCGCCTCCTAGGGTTAGATCCTGAAGAGACGCTGGTTCCTCACTCGCTCCGATTACACGTATAAAAAAGGTCACATAATCTAAGACAGATAAAAAAGTGGCAGAGACAAGGCGCCTTTTAACCCCAAAAGAAAAACATGTCTTATTTCGAAAGAAAAAACCCAGCTTAATTTTTAATTTCTTCACAAGTGCATCAATAAAAGGTTTAAAAGTGAAGGGGGGTAAACACATGCCATTGGTTTGTTGGGGATATACGAATCCCATTGATTTATTTTTATCGCTCCACTCCAAAATACTTTTTATTAATTGACTATAGGCATCTGGTCAATTCCTTTACTATTTGCAAACGCATGATAACTTGACTACTTTTAGGGTTTAGGGACGTTTTCCCACAATATTTAAAAAATGCGTCTGGAAAAAATCACTGACTGCATCTTTAAAGCACTGCTTTCACCCCATACACTGTGGTGATAAACTACTACGGCAGCCACAGCTGCCCTTAGGAGCGAGGCAACCCAGAAATGATTTCCCCTTCGGGCATTGAATCACCATTTTTTCATCAAAAGAATAGAGCATATAAACGACGGATACATATGCAAGAACTGCTCTAAAAATAACTGAGCGTGTCATTTTAAAGGGAAACCACTACAACAGTAACATAGCTTTTAAAAGTAGATTTTAAAAACATGTGGTGATATTTCCATCTCCTGCTTCCCCCGTGTTTGTCACGCTGTTGAACTGCGGAGATTGCAACTGCTCCATATTGTAGAAGAAAAGTATTTGCGGTGGTGGCTGTGATAAGCCGTGTCCTCCGTGCCCGTCTCGGACTGCTCCCAGCCTCATAAACTTGACTTTATCACAGCCTTTACAACTGTGTGTCACTGTAAACGTCCCAGCTCCGTGGAAGCTTCAGATGTCATTACAGGTCAGCATGTCTTCAGCCTGACATCAGGCCGGACAATGGAATTAGCTTGGACCACAAGCAGAGGGCCACCATTCAGAAATCAAATAAAACTATCCAAGGATTCAAAAAGGTGTCTTATTGAGTTAACATGTTATTGTGAGAAGAAGTGAGTTGAGTCTCACGGCGTGGCCAGTCTGTCACAATATCACACGTCACCTCTGACAAGACGGAAGTCTACCGCAGAAACATGTCAGGTAATTAAGCAGTACTAGTTTCTTTACATTTATGTCTTATTAAAAGATCCTTCTAAGCATTAAACATAAGAAGAGAAAATAATGCCTGAAGAGAAAGAGCCATTAATTTTGTCACAACTTGCAGGAGGATCAAAGGACAGCCATCATGATCCAGTGGTGATAATGCTTTATGGGCATTTCTTAACACATTTTGTTATGGATATTGGTCATAAGATAAGAGCGCAACGCAACGGACACCCGGCTTCCTTCATTGTCTGCGGAGGAATAGCCTGATTCTCGCCAGACCCATGTAGTTCCGCCATGCTCCACCAGAGGCATTTGGCTGAACATAAGGGTCTGGGATCGACGCCAATGCAAACTCCTTCAGAAGATCAACAAATACTCAGCCAATCAGGATCGCACGTCGGGTTTGCACCGCCTTCTCGTGCATGTCTCACGCAAGCCCCGGTGATCCAAGATGGCGCCCTATTCAAATGAATGGCTTGTGCTTGTGATAGGGTATTACTAGCTTGTAGCTGAATAACTCATGTGCTCGGGGGATTCTCGCGGTACTGCAGACTGAACTTGACTAAATTCACGTGGGCTACCCAGAAATTTTCCCCATAGGACTCAATGCATATTAAAACAGCTCAACCTCAGCTGACAGAGAACCTACGGATCGGATTTTGTGGGGATTTTAGTGTCCCTTGTCATCCTGAACTTTTTTTCTTCTTAAATCCTTCGGTTTTCATGCAAAGACCTCCATCCATCCATCCATCCATCCATTTTCTACCCTTTAATCCATTTCTGGGTCAGGGGGGTGGCAGTCAGAGATGCCACCCAAGTCTCATAGCACCAGCCCCTCACTGACCCTCTGCAGGTGGTGAGTCCACAGGAGGACGGCTGCTCTCTGAGTGTGAGCATAGCCTTGATCTTTCAGTGGGGGCTTCATGCAAAGACCTCTTCGCATGAATTCCTTGTGAATCTGTGGGGATTTAATATTCCAAATGAACACTGAAACAAGTTTGTCAAGATCCATTTTTTTTTTTTTTGGGAATAAAAAGTGGGATGCTTTGAAAAAAATAAAGGTAATATATTCATTCAGTTCACACCGCCAATTAATGACAACGGTAGATTTATTCCATCTATGCAAATCTGTTTTTGTCTTATCAAGCAAAGACTCTAGTCAATCAATCAATCAATCAAATTTTATTTATAAAGCGCTTTTCATACAAAAAGTGTAACACAAAGTGCTTTACAGTTTAGTTAAAAACAATCCAACATGCCCAGCCCTAAACCCTCCTCCCCACAGACCCCCCAAAACCACATTTATAATTAGGCCCGAGCCCCAACCGGGGTAAGGGCCTATTGCTTTTCCAACGAGTAAGCCCGACGACGCGTGCCCAGACACTGACAAAACAGTGCCGGAGGCACTGAATGGCTTTGCTCCTGCTGTAGTACACAGTGAAATGTTTGAAGTCCTATTAAAGGGGGGTTCCTTCAACTGTTTTATGGACGAATGTCCGGGCGAAGCCCGGACATTTGTCCCCCAAGCCCGACGGCGCGTGCCCAGACACTGACAAAACAGTGCCGGAGGCACTGAATGGCTTTGCTCCTGCTGTAGTACACAGTGTAATGAATGGGGTCCTATGGGGGGGGTGGGTGACCTCATGATGGCGAGGTGATTGACGAGCGCGTTAGCGCTCGTCAATCACCGAGAACCCAATAGTTGCGTTCGCCTCGTATTTCGCTTTAAAATGACGTATCATTTGTATTATAGGTTACTATGGAAACCTATATTGTTTTTGCTCGAAGTTTTAAAAAAAAAATTCCTTGGTTTATTTATTTATTTATTTATTTCTTTTTTCTTCTGCACTTTGAACCTTAATTTGACCCCCTGAACATTGATGAAAAGTTGTGAAATTTTGCCCAAAATTCAGAACCGGCGAAAAATTAATTTTTTTGGTGTTTATTTTTATGGGACTAAAAAAATGTCAGAACAGCGCCCCCTACAAAAGTCAGTTTACATTGCGCCTATGGGAGGGGGTCGAAGGTCAAGTTTGTCGTAGAGCCACGAAATTCGGTACACATGTTCCTCAAGTCAAGACATGAAAAAAAAGTTATTATGGCTCCGCCCCCTGACAAACAGGAAGCTCATTAATTTAATTGGAAAATGGAAAAATGAAAATTGATCTTTTTCACACATGTCGGCTGGAAATTATCTCCTCCTCGGCCGCTTCACCGATTTGTCTCAAAATCGCTCCACATGGTCTAAACCCATGTCCCATCTATTATTGAATATAGAATGTGGA